GCCACTCTCATTGACGGTATCCAGCGGGGTCACAGAGTTGCATGTAAGGACGGTGGCTGCCTTAGATGTTAAAATGGGCTTAGTAGTGAGTAGCCTCTCACGACGTTTCCTCAGAAGCTCTTGCTTCGTGTGTTTGAGTAACGCCTGGTACTCTGTCTTCCGTCTTCTGTTGCGTATCTGATCAGTGCTAAGCCCAGTGGCCTTAGACATCTCCCCTAGATACATGCCGAGTGTATTGGCGGCCTCGATTCCTGCCAAGATCTGGAGGATCTCTAATTCTAGCATAGGCCTCAAAGCTTCGATATCACGAGCGTACTCAAACCGGATGGTTTGTACGCTCGTGTGCTCGGATACCCTTGAAAGTGACGCACACATGGCCGCAATACTTGCACTTATACCTCTCTCCACACTTTCACATCAGCAGATGCTTGCGCAATAGCGCAACAGATGCAAAGTCCTTACCACAAGAACTACATACGGTGGGGGAACTAACCGCGAATGGGACTTCTGCGGAGTTAGGGTGGAAGGCGTAGCCATTTTATTCCTCCCCTACCTTTGGGCCCCCGGTTGTTAGTCAGCGGAGTGCTCACTCTACCGGTCAAAATAGGTGAGGTAAAAATGCGTCAATGCGACCTGTGTTGTTAGATGGCTGCAAAGTACTCATTGTTAGCCGCCTGCAATCAGGTTGCAGGGCGCCCGACTTTCGGTTGGCCATTTCTGACCGGAACCCAATGAGTTAGATAATGAAAATCTCCTCAAATTGAGAAGACTGAAATGCTAATCTTTGTTCCTTAAAAGGAACCAAGTATCTAGGGTGACAACTAAATGCTCGCCACTACAGATAAAAATTCAGCCCTCGGGGTGCACACTCCCTGTAGATAGTTGAAGGTGCTAGGTCGCCTTATCAATCAATTCAAATCGAAGGTGCTAGGTCGCCTTTAAACTTTAAAAAAATGATATAATAAATATGTTGTTTGTCAATTTTAAATTAAACTTCATCTCCTAAATCCATCACAATATAGCAGCGCTGTTGCCATCGCTTGTCACTCGAAGTTGATCACGTGCATCGGAAATTGTTTTGCGATTACCATACAAAATATAACACAAACACTTATGATTAATAATCTAGTCATCGTCTTCACATATAGGACAAACATTGTTTTTCTTTTATTGTTGCAAATTTGTTGCAAATGCCGCAAATCCAACTCGAACAAAGAACACAGCAAATCCAATCTGGGACTTTGTATTTAGAATAGAGACATCTACATATTGCACAAAAATCGTTGCTTCTCTCCTCTGCTTCACACTGTGTAGCAACAGATTTGGTTAGGTTTGGAAGGACCTGGTTGCGAATTAAGATTCTCCTGAGCAGTATGTATCATCCTTTGGATAAGGGATCATCGTCAGGGGGGGGGGGCCTTGCGTCCAATTTTTATATAAATTCAGAGATTTGTAGAATACTATTGGTGGTAAAAGCTTACCATCTGCCGTTCCACACATCATAATGCTTACAGAAGTCCTGGAATGTTCTTTGATTCTCTCCACTCTTTTCATGCCTCTTGGAACGAGAACCTTTTTGGAGCCCGGATCATCGGCAATATTGGTCTTGTATAGTTATAGATGTTTTAACGAGGAGCATTCTCTAAATGAGGCCTTGTTATTGTTAAAAAATCACTAATTGCACTTTAACCGACCGATGCACGACTTTGTATTATATAGTGGCTAGTCTAACGCGTAAATTGTTTCTGATTGCGAAACCTTTCACAAAGTCATATCCTGGTCTGTTTTCTTTCCATATTTATACGTTACGCCCTTGTCTGTTTATTAAAAACAGAAATAACGGAAGCAATATCATACTGGTTAGAGGATATTCCTAATCACTAACAGTACCGAGAGTTTCACTGATTAAACGTTCCTCTTCTTCAGTTAAAATGGTCGGATGGCCTACCTTGTTTGTATGTTTTCCGCTAATTCTCTCCAATACGGTTGTCCTTGAAACCTGGTATTTTATACTAGCTGCCTTCTTAGTCATACCAGTCCGCACTGCTGCTGTACCGACTTTTTTTACGTAATTTCTGACCATTTTTTAGCGTAAATATTATTAGCCGACACAAATAGACGTACTACCACACTCAGTGTTGCCGGCGCAGCGATACTAAATCACTGGCGGTGTTAGTCTCGATTCCTGGCAAGTTACTGGCAAGCAGGTTAGGTTGAGGAAAGCAAAGGCAAAGCGCCACAGATAGAAAACATTTCATGGTCGGGGTTGACAAGAAACGATATCATACATTATACTTATTATAAATACATTCGGTTATATTAAGTAACATGATTATACCTCTGAGCTATGAGCCTACACATTGCAGCTTACAAAACAAATAAATTAACATGAAAAATAAAAAGTGTTTCCACTATAAAAAAATTTCAGTTAAAATTACAATCTACTTTTTCCAAAGCATCGGTTCACAGATGACTGGTGCATGCTGGTCAAGTAATCTTGACCAATACCTCGCTGATATGATCCTTCGCATAAAAAATGTAGTGAAGCAAAAACCTGAATAAGCAAAAATGTTTTGGTATCAAAAATTTTATTTACCCAAGAGGTCATATCATAGCTAACCTGTTTAATTGCCCTCAGAGCTTTTGGAATACTTGTTGTCCTTTCAGAGCCCCTCATATATGGTGCTATATGCATTACTAACCAGTGTCCTAGTTCCTTTGATACACTAAAAATCCCTTTGAATGTACTTTCAGGTAAACTTAAGGGATCACAATTTTCTATCAATTCAGATCAATTTTCTATCTCTCAAATTCCGTCTACGTAAATTCAAAAAACGCCTATAAAATGGATCTTTATTAGTGTGTGGTGTGGAATTACATAAATCTATAATTGAATTACAAACCTAAAATGATTTATTTACTTACCTCTGAATTTCATTTTCGAATAAATCCACAAACAAAACTAAAGCCATCTTTACTTGCAATGATCTCAAGATTTTTAACGTGCTAGTTTTTCTTTACGCTAAAATAATTGACTTATTTCAACCTTGACTTGGAAACTAATCTCAATTTTGCCTTTACCGCATAGCAATTATTGAAATGTTCAAGGTTACTTGACTTAATTTCAATCTCTTGAAAACTATTAATTTCAATGTTAACTAAATTGTTTTACTGCATACCAAATTTCAATTTTTATTGAAATTACTGTCAAATGTATTTTTTATATCTAAATGTCTCTTGGTAAAAAATCGCTACGAGCAGCCGTTCTCAAGATACTTCGAATGGAAATGTTATTATTGACAAAAACATAAACATGTTGAGTAGATAGTTATCTGACTGAAATGATAAATTTATGAACTATTCAAAAAAATAATGATAAAACAGCTTCTGTTGAACTGCACTTCTGGCACAAAAACATTTCAAATTTATGATTTCAATCTAATTTATTTAGTAAACATTTTTAATATATGTCAATGATGACTAGGTATTGATAATTTAGATTCTAAATATCTCGAGAATTATTAGACGGCAGCGATTTTTACCAAGAGACCTTTTGCGTAAAAAAAATTGTAACAGTCAAATTTCCTCGCAACGACCTCTGTATGCTAGCTCATAAATTATCGCAAATAACTATTATTTTTGCATCATGTTTACTATAATTTTATTGTTAAATATTATTTTATTTAAATTTTACAATTATGCAACCCGATATACACCGCGATATACAGCTATAAATACACAATACTGTCTCTGGACCAGGCACACCAGCAGTAGTAGGCTTTTTGTCCATCTCTCTATATCTTTGATCATCACCTCCGTCACTTGTCACTGTCAGATCAAATCAGATGTTTTTGGATTTATTTATCTTTTGTTTTGGTTATTGAAATTTTATAATTATCAGATAAAATTTCGTAGTTAAATTGGTTATTTTTTATGTGGATCGCAGTGTGCAATTCGTTCTTTTAATTGTGGAATTTCTGAGTTTAGTTCGTTCATTGACCGGATATGGAATATGACTGAGGAGGAAACATCATTTTTTATTTATGCCTTTTTGTGAGTTCATAGCAAGATATATAGTTCTCTATCTATATCCTGGAGGGAGATTTCCGGTTAAAATCTGATTTTGTGAAGGAAATCGAATCCTTGCATCACTTCTTGTGTACTCCCCGGCTGAAGAGTGTCGTTGTGAAGAACTGGCTGCCGTTCCGTGAAGCATACCCTGTTGGTGATTAGCAGGTCTTCCTAGTGAAGGATTAAGTCTTCCGGAACACATTTGGTCAGAGATGTGGTTGTATTTTGTGGGATTTACATGGACCACCGACCAGTTTCCATAATGGGATTAAAATAACCTTTTTCCGACTGATATTCCGATTCCACGTGCCCAAGAAGTCCCCGAACAGTTCCAAGGTATGCTATAATTCTTCTGCCTATTCTAAGTCAATGCTCAACTGATTTTTGTTCATGTTGTTGTCTGGTTTTCGACTTTTACACGCCCACGTGGTGTAGAAAGATTAGTTGAGTGTTGTCTTTCTTAAGTCTTATTTGGTTGTTCGTAATTGTAGAGCAAGAAGACCGATCCAGACCGTACAGCACAGAACAGTCAAGAATTCCATCCGTTCCTGTTGCCCGTGTGTAGAGTTACCCGTTGGACATCATAAACCCTCATTGAGGTAAAGTTCAGATTTGATTAGTCCTTCTTTATTACCTTTATTAACTCCTACACGTTGTGCTAGTCCTTGTTCTATAATTGAGGCTCTTTTCTAAGACAACCAATATGATTTAGGGTTTTTTATGTTCACCTTTTGAAGTCCTACACCTGGCCGGCATCCGTACGTCTGCTGACATCCGTGGGCTCCAGTGACAGTACACCGAGCTGCTGTGCACCGCCGTAGCCACCCTGTAGCTATACACCGTAGCTCAGCCGGAGGAACTTCCGAGTTGTTTCAAGTTTATACAACGCTTAAGCTGGATTTATAAACTCGGAAGTTGGCGTTCAGTTGAGGTTCAGTTGCAGTTGGATGTTCGCGGCAGTTGAGGTTCAACATTTTTGCATTTATAATCTAACGCCCGCAGTTGGAAACGTAGAGTTTTGATTGGTCAGCGGTTCGTACGTACTGTTCTTGACGACCTTGAGAATTCCGTGACACTTCGCTGTGTTTTAGGTGTCTGTGGTTTCAATTCAATCAGCTCTCTATGGGCATCTCACATCTGCCATCACTTCATTTCACAGCTTCATTTTAAAACCGACGCTTGACGCCTACCGACGCTAACCTCCATTTTTCTGTTTTTTCCTGTGTTTATTGTTCGTTCCACGTGCTCATTTATTTTTATTTTCTGTTTTGTGTGATCTATCCTTTTTCTGTGTATATTTTTTTGTTCTTTCCTGTTTATGTTTTGTATCCTTTCTCTGTATATATTTTTTTTGTTCTTTCCTATGTGCTTATTGTTTGTGCCTCGTGCTCATTTATTTTTATTTTCTGTTTGTATCATTTTTTCTCTGTATATATTTTTTTTTCTGTTTTCTTTCCTGTGTTCCATTCTCTCTCTGTATATATATTTTTTCTGTTTTCTTTCCTGTGTTCCATTCTCTCTCTGTATATATTTTTTTCTGTTTTCTTTGTTCTATCCCAATATGGACGAAGAAGCGTTACTCTCCCTGGCGTTTGTGCTGTGCATGTATAATTTTACAGTCCAATCTCGAAGACGGCGCATTCGACAGTATAAGACTCGACCTATAAATAGGGGTCGTAGGGGTTTCAATTATTATGATCAGATGAAATTGGGGGATCCACAACAATTTTTCAAATATACGAGGATGAATGTTGCTGTCTTTGAAAAACTTTTGACCAAGGTGGCGCCAGTAATAAGGCGACAGAATCGTTCTGATGGAATATCTGCAGAGCACCGTCTTATTATAACATTGCAGTAAGCCAAATTTTTAATGATTAATATTTATTTTGTTAATGTACTTATGTTTCAGATATCTGTCTCAGGGCACATCAATGCAGAATCTAGCTTGGACATTTCAAATTGGCCATACCACGGTCCACAAAATTATCCACGAAACATGTAGGGCAATTTGGAACGTGTTAAGTCCAGAGTACTTGAAATCCCCTTCGACAGCTGCTGAGTGGCTAAATATTAGCCATAAGTTTACTGAGAGATGGAATTTTCCCCATTGTGTGGGTGCCTTAGATGGGAAACACATTAATATTAGAGCTCCTGCACGTAGCGGCTCATTATTCTACAACTATAAGAACACATTTAGTATTGTCCTGCTAGCAGCATGTGACAGCAAATATTGTTTTACCCTTGTTGATATTGGGGCATATGGGTCGCAAAGTGATGGAGGGATCTTCAGACACAGTATTTTTGGCCAACGACGGGAGGAAAATGACCTAAACATCCCAGAAGCCACAACTTTAAATGGGTGTAGTACTAGACTACCATATTTTTTGGTGGCAGACGAGGCTTTTCCCTTGAAATCGTTTATAATGCGCCCTTATGGAGGTAGGAATCTGACAGACACACAGAGGATATTCAATTATAGACTGTCGAGAGCACGGCAAGTAATTGAAAACACTTTCGGTATCCTAGTTGCCAGATGGCGAATTTTACAGACGACGATAAATGCGAAAATTGAAAATGTGGATGAAATTGTCAAAGCAGTAACAGTACTCCACAATCACTGCCAAATAGAACTTGGTAATGGTGAAAATGGTGAAAATATTTATTGTCCACAGGGATTTGTAGATACCGATGATGAAAATGGCTCTTGGAGGGATGGCCAAACGTCACTAAGGTCGGTAGGCAGATTGTCCTCTAATACAGCTCAACGATTCTTATATTCCATTAGAGATAGTTTAGCCCAATATTTTATATCCCCACATGGTGCAGTGGCATGGCAAAATAATGTCATTAATAACGGTAGATTATTTTAATTTTTGTCTGTTTAATGTAATGTGTTTTTTTAATTTTAAGTAATTATATTTTGTATAATGTAACTTCTTATTTATAACATTAATATATTTTATAATTTAAAATAAGTTATTAGTAGTTAGCTTTTCCAAATATTTCTGTACTTTTCTTTATTTTATTGTATCTTATGTGAAATATATGTACTTATATTTTATATACTTTTTTTGCTTGATTTATTATTTTATTTATTAATTATTATTATTTTATTTATTATTTATATATTAAAATTCTTCCCTGTAAAAGTAAAATTATTTTAATGTCATTCATTCAATTTGACATACAAATTATTTATTGGAGCCAAATATTGAAGTAACATAAATACTTCAATATTTAGCTCCAATAAATAATTTGTATGTCAAATTGAATGACAATAAAATAAATATTAAAGATAAAATATTTTAAAATAACTTTACTTTTATAGGGAAGAATTTTTCTTATCTTTTCTATTTATGTGTAACCATGATTTTTTTAATATTTCAGCACCATATTTTAAATTGTACAACTATTAATGATTACTTATTAAGAAACTATGCTTTTTAAAACTCAAATAACAATAAAATAAAGGAAGTAGTTTCTTTAGAATTTAAAAAAAAACATGTATTTTATAATAATTATAATATAATTAAAATATAAAATATAATAAAAACGTAAACACTTTTAAGAATTTGTATTCTCATCTTCTTCCAACATCCTAAGAAATTGTTTTCTTTTTGCCCTGGCTACCTCTGTAGGCATTTCTTCCAGGAGCGAATATACATATTCTACAAATGCTCTATTTGGATCGGATCTTTTGGGCTGTCCCACTTTTGCCGCTATTTCCTTTGCTACTGCCAGCATTTCTTTCTCAGCAGTTGACATTTTGGCTGCATCTGTAAATAAATATAAACTTAATATAATCCTATAACTATATTCAGTATACTCTAGACTTTAATACTTGACAGAAAATGAATGTGTAATCTGTAATAACTATTGTCGCTATCCAGTAATAATGTCAAACGTCTGTCAAAATAGCCTGTCAAACGAGTCTGGGAATATTTTGATAGAAGACATCTAAAAAATGTTCCAAAAGACAGACACAACTGTCATGAACCTTCTCGTTGGACAGATTACATATATTAATAGTCTTCTATAAACTTACTTTTTCTAACTTGGGATCCTTGCCTCAATGGTGTGGTGATGGAGCTAGGTCCTGCCTCATCACACAATGAGGACACCTGTGTGTCCTCCAAACCACTGCTGTCACCGCTGACCGTTCGAGGCCTCGAGGAAGAAGATGTTTCTTCCCCCGTATCTTCCGTTGAAGTCAACTTCGTGTTCCACAGTGAGGACGTGGCCCGTGGGGCATCAGTAGATAGTTTTGGAGTTGTCGTGTAAGTTCTAGAAAATTACGTTTAATATTAATAAATAAAATGCTAATAGAGTTAGGTATATATTTATAAACTAAATGCTTACTTTCTTTGTTTAGAAAATTTGGCGTAAAAGGACATTCTCTCGTAGTATGTCCACCTCGACGCCGGTGCCTCGGATCCCGATTTAGAGGCAATCCTTTTTTCTTTGGTATAGCGGTCTCTTAAGGCCTTCCACCGCTTTTGGCATTCTTCAACTGAAAAATAACTATTAGTAAATACTATACACTAAAATTAAGTAAAAAATAATTAACTTACCACTGATGTTCAACATCTGTGCAATTTCCACCCAACTTTGGTGTTTTTTTAATACATTTTTATAATCCCGGTGTTCGAGATTATATAGATGTTCATAGTTGGTTATTATATCTAATAATAATCCACTTACATCGTCGATCTCGCAGAATTCTGTCTCTACTAAAGACATAGACATAATTATAATGACTAATAGAGAAATTAATAAAATTAAATAAAAATAGAGAATTTAAAATTTAACCACGAGGACAACGACCAACCACGACCAACGACAGAAACAAAATGAAAACGCCGACGCTATGGCCATAGATGAACTAAACTTTCCTATCGCCACAGAACGACAGAACATATTTTAAGCGTCATCCATAGAGAAAGTTAATAGTTTAGAGAAAGTTAATTTCTCTATTTGTCTATGGCGTCACCCATAGAAGCTTCACCCGAGCGTAATATATCACGTGTTCAAATTTAGCCCACTGATTGGCTGTGCCGAACGGTCGCGAACTGCCGACTTAAACATTGACCATCTCTGAACTCCCCTGAACGTAAAACGAACTGCCAACTTTTCGACCAACTGACTTTATAAATGCGCGCGTTCATTTCATAGCGTTGAACATTTTGAACGGCAACTGAACCTCAACTTCCGAGTTTATAAATCCAGCTTTAGAGTAAGACTGATTTTTTACTCAGTAGTTTTATACAGGTACGGACGAAAATGTATTACATTTCAAACCAGTTAAAAAATATGTAGGTGGTGCCCCCTACAAGTAGGAGTCATATTGACATCGAAATCAAATTTCTCATATTAAAAATCTCCCATACACAAATTTTCATCGAAATATTGACGTTACTTCAGAAATTATTTGGAAAAAATCGAAATAAAAATGAAACTTCTACATCACGTATCTCCGAAACTAAATATTTTTTTATTATTTAAAATATAGAAAGCTCGAATTGACACATTAATTTATCCAATTTAAAACTGCTAGAAACGGAGGAAATTTTGTACTGATCAGATACGTTTATTGGCGTCACGTAGGGCGGAATCAAATGCTTTTTTAAACGAATGGAGGATCCAGTTGGGCTGCCGAAAACAAACCGTCAATTGCCGATTTCGTTTTCAAAATGTTCTACACGTAATTCGAGCAATGCCCATGGGTAATATTTTGATTTCGTGCTACGCAATTCCTTATTGATTGGTCTGCCAGTGGAAGAGCCTTTTAAGGTATAAGTTTGTATTTTGGTTTGGTTCACTTGTCTGCTAGAGATTATCGACAATTAATTTAGGGAAAAAATAACGGGGATTTATTAAATATTGTCTTTTATTTTAAGCACTTAGGATAAAGAAACTTCTTGTCAGTCAAAAATATGCTCCCTGTCATACCATTTTAAAATTTCTTTTTCTGTATGCTTGAGCGCATTTTTCTATATTTCGAGAGTTACGGTTTAGGTTTAAGTGCTTTATTTCACAAGTCTATACAGTCTTGAGCTGTAGTACCATTTCTACTAACACGATTGCTATTGTATGCTTGATCGTTTTTTCCATATTTCTGGAGTTATATTTTTAAGTGCTTCATTCCACAAGTTTATACTGTCCTAAGCTGTAGTACCATTTCTACCAACACGATTGCTATAGTATGCTTGATCGTTTTTTTTTCATATTTCTGGAGTTATATTTTAAGTGTTTCATTCCATAAGTCTATACAGTCTTCAGCTGTAGTACCATTTCTACCAACACGATTACTATATCGTCGGTGAAATGTGATAAACTGCTAACTCCATTATTCCTAATTTTACAGGAGAGCAAAAAAACGGTACAAAAAATATGTACACATGTAGGAAGTATTTTCATGCGTTAATATGATAAAAAAGATAAGAATTTTATTTACTGGTTAACAATAAAACTCAATATTTCGTGTTCCATAATTATGTGTTCCATAATCACAACCATACTTTTTTTCAGACACAATAGGGAGCATAGATAGCAGATATTCGTCTTGCAGAAATAAGAAATAAAAATATACTTCTGGAGATAGCAACCTTTATTGTTTGAAATTTTGAAATTGGAATTGAATATTATCCAAACATATTTAGAGATTATCAATTAAATTTAAAATATGTGATATTCATAACCATATATTTATAATATCGTCGGTCTAGAAGCAAAACATACAAGTCCAAAAACGAATAAATTTTTAATGCATTTGTTGTGGTCCTCTTCAGACGGGCCAACTTGTTGAGTGTCTTTTCGGGTGTGAAATTGATGTACACTATTGTTTTTTAATATAACTTAACTTTAATTATGATAAACTAATTACAATAGTTACCCTGAGGGAAACTGTGAAAAATAATAACGTGTTGAAGAGTAAAAAGGGAGTTGAAGAGCAAAAGCAAAAGAAGGTTTCAGCAAAAAGAAGTGTGAGGGCCTGTCTTGCAGTTCCTTAAATAGTATTTAAGCTACAGAAATGCCAGAGGCGTACAGTACAATTTATATATCCTTAATCTAATATTCAGAGCAGTGGACGACACTGCTCTAAACTTACATTGTTTAGGTAGAGAGACGTCTGCGAAATCTATATAAATTTATGATCAAAATTCCCAAAAGTATTAGTTAAAGTTATCAATAAGAATTATATTGTAGGGTCGTTTATGGCCCCACAGGTATGAAGGTTTTTATTAGAGACTAAACTAATATTACAAATTTGATTAAAATGAGGACGTGATTATAACGCATTTTTAAAGAACTAAGGTAGCAGCGTTTTGGACTTAATGAATATGAAAATAATTTAAAAATTAAACTTATAATTCTTAGAAGATATGGTAGAATCCTTCCATGCTTATCCTAATTTTTATACAACGGTAGTAGACCGAGCTTGGAAAACAGTGCGTGATTTTATTAAATTTTTATTACTTTTCTCCTTATTTTTTTTTAATTTTTATAAAAATTATGTATCATTTACGTGGAAAAACGTTGAAAAAAATAAAACTGATTATGTATTATGGAAATTCTTGTACAACTAAGTAATGGTTATTTAAACTATTTATCGCACGCCGATGAATTGCTCGTATATAGAGAATTTCGTTTTCCCCTTACCCTTTGCGGATACCCCGTATTTACAGAACGGATCGACGCAGGGTCGGACTGACCATTTAGGACCAACTATTAGGGGGGCCCAAGCCTTATCGGGCCCCCTTTATAGTTCATTATTTATTATTAACAATATTTGCTTTTGCATTGCATTATGGCATTTGCATTGCATTGGTTTACCTTGCATTAAGGTAGTTCCCTGATTTCTGTACAGGGTGAGTCTTAAATAAGTGCAAATATTTTCAGGGCTGGTGTAAATCTCGATAAACGAAACATAATATTTTCTCTTTACCGTTTTTTTCAAATAAATCCAAAACAACCGAGTTATTTCACTTTTAAAATTTCCAATTTTTTGCTATAATTTTGAGAATCATTGGATTTTCTTTCTCGTAAATTTAATCTACTACCTATGTTGCCATATTACAAAGTATGTTTTTAAACTAAAAATTAAAAAAAATTCCAAATTTTTTTTTTTTAAATTCCTAATTTCCAGAAAAAAATTTCGCGTAAAAAAATATCATAATCGTGTTTCTTGGATCGAAATATACTACCTCTAAAATATTTGCACTTATTTAAGACACCCTGTCATATAATAGAGAAAAATTGACCAAAACGAAAGGCGAAACAATACGCAAAAAATCCACACGGCCCCTCCTTACATTGTCACCCGGGCCCCTTTGGCCTAGTGCGACCCTGGATCGATGTACTGTACTAAAGAAACATACGAGTAAGAATCAGTGTGTTTACTTTAGCGTGATCGCAATGGAAATTACGGAGATAGCAGCATTTCGGTGGCTATTTCAGATCACTGGGAGTTAGCAGATATTATTGAATTAAAATAGCAAATTTTCTTTAATGGGAAAAAATGTATTTGCTATCCCTACTTATAGAGTATTTTTTTCTCTTTCTAATGGTATAAAAAAACTTATTGACGTAAAAAATGGAGTTAGCAGGTTATCACGTTTCACTGACGATATAGTATGCTTGATCGCATTTTTCCATATATCAAGAGATATAGTTTTAACTGCTTCATTCCTCAAGTCTATACAGGCTTGTGCTGTAGTACCATTTTTTACCAACACGATTGCTGTAATTATGTTTATTTATTTGTTCTAATAAATTAAACTAATTACATATGATCAAAAACATTAAAAAGTTCCTTTCCCAAGTCGGTCATTTGACTTGCTACAATATTAATATATATATATATATATATATATATATATATATATATATATATATATATATATATATATATATATATATATATATATATATATATATATATATATATATATATATATATATATATATATATATATATATATATATATATATATATATATATATATATATATTAATAGTTTTTAAAAGTGTATTTGTGATAGAATTTATTATAATTTTGGCTATGAATGAACTATTGTGATTTCATATTGAGACAAATCGAATAATAAATTATTTTGCGACAAATATTTTAGTGTTATTGCTGATAAAAAATTCCTGTTGGTGTAGATGCTCAGAAATGTATCTTCTTGTGTATCTAAAATTTTGTTGAAAATAAGGTACTCATAAAACTATATCAGTGACCTTATCTTTTGGAAATCTGTGGTTTCCTCTACTTAAATTTTTGATAAGTTTATGGTTATCTTCAATTTGGAGATCATTATAAGTTAAATTTAGTTTACATAATTCACACTTAACTTTTTTTTAACAAAACATTACAGCAATATCCACCGAAGTAAGTAATAACTGGCATTTCCGATGCCAATCTTTCAATTTCCTCATCGGTAATATGAAAGTCTGGATAAAAAAATTATACCCCTAGCCGGTTGCGAACTCGGACTTCCGGGTTCATAGGCGGAGTCTCTGCGCATTGCCCTATGCTGGATTTATATTCAATACTAATACTAGATAGAAGGTACCCGGTAGCGTAGAGGTACAGCTCTCGTCTACCAATTCAAAGGTTATGGGTTCGAATCCGACAGCCTGCATTTGATCAGCCGATTATTTTTATTAAAATAAAAATAGTTTGGATACCTAGGTCGGCTCAGCTATAAATGAGTACTTGGGATTCACAATCCTGAGGTAATAATAAGCGGTTGAAGTGTAATGCTAGCCACATTACCTTGTATACCGAACGGCTCTAGGTATGGCAAGCTGTACCTTGCTACTCCCAAGGCGTTAAACACTATATACGGGAGCTATTATATTTACTAATACTAGAATTTAACGGACTAAATAAAAAAATAGGAGCTTCATTACACTATATTCACTGTGCTCGGTTCTTTTGTTGAATGGTACGTCGCACAATGATACTCATATTTTGGAAACTGTATATAAAATAAATTCGTCAGCTAATTTTGTTTGCCCTCATTTTTATTTGAACATAATGCTGGTGAATACCCAAATTCACCTTCTCGAAAACATTTCATATTCATTGGCTTCTCCAATGAACTGCTCTAAGAAAACAGTATATCTTGAATCCACCGTTTCCCGTTTTGCTTTTTTTGCAAAGTCTGGT